TGGTTTCATTAGGAAATGAAATATGATTACTAATAATTTCTGAAAATTTGGTATATGCTGAAAGCTTGGTTTAATTGACCTGAGATAGAGGAAATTGTGATATTTTATTATTCTAGTAGACATTATTGTTACTTTATTTGGTTTGCAATCATCAATTAGTGAAAAATAAGTAAATGAAAAGAGAAAAATCAATTAGTGAAAAATAAGTAAATGAAAAGAGAAAAAACAACATAACGATGTGTGGTGGATTGCTGTATGGGGGAGAAATGGAGATAAGAGAAAAATAAATTGAATAAATAAAAATTGTGGATTAGGATCATGAATGTGTTTCTGATTTTTTTTTTTAATTTTTATTTTAAATTATAAATAAAAATTATTAAAATACTTGTAGAAATTTTTCATAATAGAGACTTTTTTATTTATTAAAACTTGATCCACTTTCTTAAAATGTATCAATAAAAAAAATATGTTAACAAACTCACATATGTATCATACTATTTTTGTTTCTATTTTATTTTTTATAATATAATTATTAATTTTTTTTAAAAAAATAAAATTGTTAACTAATTTTTTTAGAAGTAACTATTATTTTGAAATTTGTATAAATCTGTCACTGGTTTCTTTTTTCTATTTCTTTTTTTTTTCTCTTTTACTTTTTATTATTTGTATTATAATGGTACTTTCTACCATGGATGTTAAGATATTTTTGTTTTTTTTCTTATATATGAATTTAATCAATTTTTATATATTATTAACTTATAATACAATCAAATATTTAAATAATCGGACACACAAACTTTATCATATCTATATTTACATTAGTATATATCTATAACTATAGAGAACATTCTCTCTTTTTTTATCTACAATTATCATTTGTATTTTATCCTTTTCAATATATTTATTTATTCATTTTCAAAATTAAATAGTTACTTTTACATGTTTTCTATAAAACTATCTTAACTCATAATATTTTTTTTCCTAATTTTATTCTTTTAATAGTTACATTTTTAATTTAAATAATTATTAATAATAAAAATTATTTATATAGTAAAAAACTTATTCAAGTAATTTATTCTTTCAGTAATTCTTAATATAATATATTTTATATATAATAAATTTTTTATTATAATGTAAACAAGTGAACACCGCATATGTGTTTTCCCCTGTATATATAACATTTATTTTACAATCTTTCAAATAATCATAAAATGTGATTCTCTTGATTCTAATTTTCCACCTCTTTAAAAATTTCATCTTAAATTTAAACCTCTTTAATAACATTTCACTTTTAAATAAAACAATTTATTAAGAAACAAATAAACAAATATATATTGAAACACAATTTTTATTAGATTTTTATAAAATATTCTTAGGAAGAGTATAAATCAATCAATTACAACAACACATCAAATTATTACAAGAACCACCCAAGTTAAACCCCTGTGCTGCGCAAACATCCTTGCAATTTACAACGCAAATACCGACACACTTAAGATGATCGTCTATTATTTTTCTTGCTGCTTCTGTTACTGCCATTCCTGCATTGATATTACCATAAAAATTATATCAAACTTCACAATAAAATTTACATGGATTTATGTGATTTGCCTTTATTTTAGAAAAAAAAAATTAAACAAGGAAGATTAACAAAAACTATTTTTCCAATTGATTATATGATAAATAATACTAAAGTAGAGAAATGAAAGTAATGATTTTTTCTAATTACCTGCTGTCAGAACCAGAACAACAAACAGAACACTGAAGAGAAAAGGATGATAAGAGCGAGAAGCCATTTCTAAATATTTTTCTTTTCTTGGGATTTTCTTTTCTGGTGACTTGAAACTTTCACCATCTACTCACTATTTATAGGCTATTTAGGATTCACATGCACTGTTCTTTATATCTTATTGCACACAAACTTAAAGGGAGGTTTCGGTAAAAAAAAACTCCACAAAAATTATTTAATAAATGACATGTTAAATTCCATAAAATTTTAAAATTTTAATTTCACTTGTTAGTATTAAACAAAGTTCATATTTTCCACCTTTAAAAGTTGTTATTTAAGTATTTTGAGGAAATTAGTGATGAGTGATAAAATCTTTCTTTTTTTCATTAATTTATTAATATGTATGGTAAGTAATGATTATTCTACGTTTCTCCATAATTAATATTTTTAATTTTACAATATTATAATAAAATTAATAATCACAATTAATTACCTCCCTTCAAACATATATTTATAAATATTATAACGAGATTAATTATTAATAAATAATTTTTATTATTTCTTTCAATTTTCAATCAATAACTATTATTTTTATTAATTGTTCATTAATATATGTTATTATTCAGATTAATTATCAATTACAATCAATTACACTTAAATAAAAAGATTTCAAAATCAAAACCTTTTATATTTATTTATCTTATTATAAATTAATCATAGTTGTAAATAAAAGTTAATATTATTCTAAACTTAAGTAAAAATAAATAAATAAATTTTAAACATAATTTACTTCGTGCTTAAGCCTATATAACATTAATTAGCAATTCTAACCTAAAAAAAGTTTTTGAACGTTAACAAAATGTGTTAAATATATGTTTCATATCTTTGTTTAAATAAATGTTAACAAAATTTGTTAAATAAAACTTAACTTTTTAATAACTAATATTATAAATTAATTAATTTAAATTTGAATAATTGATATAAAAAATAATAATAATCTTAATCATTAATATTGTTAATTAGTTTTTAATTTAACATAATCATAAAATAAAAAAATAAAAACATATAAATGTATCACTACTCTTATCTATTTAAAAAGAATAGTTATTAATTGTAACGCTGGACGAGAGTAGGGCGTCCTGCCCCGATTCAGATTAGTTCTAGTCAAAACCGGTCCCCTAGCTGCTTCTTGTTGCCTCTTCTGCTGCTCCACTTTGACCACATTCTTCTCCAACACTTTGGCCCTCTCAACCATTGCAGGAAACGACCTAATGCATAGGCTGGATATCAGCAACTTTAAATCACTTCTCAGTCCATTCTCAAATTTCCGACACTTCCACTCTTCATTGGTCGCCATGGTATTGAAACGAACCAGATGCTTGAACTTATTGGTGTATTCAGAAACCGACATACCCCCTGCACCAACTGGAGAAACTCTACTTCCTTAGCGAAACAGACGTTATCCGGGAAATACTCTTCATAAAACTTGGTCTTGAAAACTTCCCAAGAGATGGGACTTCGAGCGTCCGTCAATATCATCTTCATGCTCGTCCACCAATGACTGGCATCTCCAGTCAGCAGATACTCAGTGAATGCGAGCTTATTATCATCAGGGCACCTCTTGGCATTGTAGATCCACTCCATGTCTCGCAGCCACTGATCGGCCTCGTCAGGAAGGCACTTTCCACTGAATTTTGCAGGGTGATGCTGGAGAAAATTCTCTAAACTCCACTCGGTCTGATGGGTAGCGTTGGAAGTGGATGCTCCAGATGTATTCCTCGTAGTCGCGATAATCTCCATCAGCTGTCTTTGGGTCGCTTCAGAGTTAGCACGAGCGGCTTCCAAACTCTGTAAGGCGGTAGTGTTCTACTACACCAAGGCAGCGTTCTGCTGTTGGAGTGCTTCTATCACTGATTCTAACAGTCTCGTGTTGTCGGATACAACACGGTCGACCGATTGAGGAGGAGGTCTTGGTGCCATTAGTTCTCTGAGAAGCAGAGAAAACAATCGTTAGTTAAGTTCAAAGAGTTTAAAATACTCATTAAACGAACGTTAAGCACACAACAAGAACATGGTGTACTCATAACCTATAGTGTTCCTTGAGGAACAAAACTGCTCTGATACCACTAATGTAACATCCCAAAAATACAACAATATACTATATGATAGAATGATTACATTTAATAATAATTCAGATCAGCCTTGAAATCTAAAAGAACGTACGGTTTATGGCCGAACGACCTTACAAAAAGTTAAAATCTTAAAATGTACAGAATAAGCAAACCTGACCGAACGGTTTACAAAATCAGCATCGGACGGTCATACAAAATGAAAGGAAAAGGTGATCGAACAATCACTTTACAGAATAACTAAACTACTGACCGAACGTCCTACTGTTCGGTCTTCACTTCTACTTCTACCAAATTTTCTTCTTCCAGCGCCTCTTCTAGCAGCGCCTCTTCCAGCAGCTCGTCTCCTTCTGCTCACATCCACACGGATGATCATTGCAACGACAAGGACGGACGTACAAAACCAGACAACACAGGAACAATGCAGGGTAAGCTTATGTAATTTAATTCAAATAATAACATACATTTATCATATTCAAACACACCTAGTACATTTCAACATACGATTCAAACAAGGCCTACTACTAGATTGACTGTCCGGACGGTATCAATTCTGTGTAGCTACGTCGTTCGTGCACCCGGGTGATGTAGTAACTGGAATACTCTCATCAGCTGTTACCCGAGGTTAGTCTGTTCCGTCCAAAGTACCCTAAGGACTAGGACCTCCTGCCGTTCCCACACATGACCTACCCTCCTCTACGTGAGGACGAGTACTCACGGAACATCAGGATGAACCGCCAGCTAAGCATTACCACATTCATACTTTACAATTTCAATAGTCATTCATGAGTCGTTCCTCCCCGGAACGCTCGTTCAAAAATCACAACGTTTCCTCCATCTCATATACTCTTCATCATTTATTATCCATCATTTTACTTTCATCTTTATCATCAATGTTAAGACCATCAAATACCGAACGTTCAGTCCTCACTAAGAACGAGGATGAACACTGTGGACGAGACCAAGAAGTCGCCCGTTCCAGATCAAAATAAGACCGAGAAGGTTACTTTTAGATTTAGTGAATGAACCAGGTATAATTATATATAATATATGACGAACGTTATTTACATCGTGAATCAGTTAAATGAACTGACTCTCGGGAGTTCAAACCAACACTCAAATTATAAATCAAGTATGGGGCTCTAGGTTGGATCCAACTCGGCTGGTGACATTCGATAAGGTGCCACCGAAGTGGGTCCTACCGTCGACACCAAATCAATTGTAAACTCTACCTCGCGAGGAGGAGGTAGTCCAGGTACCTCGCCTAGAAAAACGTCTGGGAATTCATCTACAACCGATCCTCCTCCACTCAGCTTACTATCGGACGATCGTTCATAACTTGAACCTTCAAACTCTTCATTCGAGTGCGTCATGATCAGAAAGCAACTGGCGCCCTCCATGATGTCTTCTTTTAGCTGACCGAGCGTCATAGATAAGTCTTCTTGTTCTTCATCAGGAAAGACTAACTCCTTCTTACCACAATCTATGAGAATGCGATTGGTAGCCAACCAATCCATTCCTAAAATCACCTCCAACTCTTTTAGAGGTAAACAAATGAGGTTCACCATATATCTACGCCCCTCAACCTCTATAGGACATCTAACACAGACTGTAGACGTCCTAACCTCACCAGCCGCTGGGGTTGACACCACCAGGTCGAACTGCATCTCACTCTCTGTCAATCCCAGTTTCATAACGCACACCTTCGAGATGAAAGAATGTGTTGCCCCCGAGTCAAATAATACACAACAAGACTTTCCATATAGTAAGCATGTACTGATGATAAGTGTACCTGAGCTTGTTGCTTCAGCACTCGTTATTGCATATAAACGTCCAACCGCCTACGCTCGGCCACCCCTTCCTTGTTGAACTCTTCCTGAGTTTGGTGGCCTCATGACCGCTCGTCCCCCCATATTACACTCGCTCTCCAGATGACCGTTTCTTCTACAGCGAGTGCAATATTTCCCTCCTACCAACTGAGGGCATGATGACTTATAGTGAGGTCCCCCACACTGAAAACACTTAACTGCCCCTTGTTGTCCAGACTGTCCGGCAACAACCATTGATTGAGTGTGAGACCTACTAGCGTTCGAAGGTAACGCTGGATGAGAGTAGGGCGTCCTGCCCCGATTCAGATTAGTTCTAGTCAAAACCTGTCCCCTAGCTGATTGTTGCTGCTTCTTCTGTTGGTCCACCTCGGCCACATTCTTCTCCAACACTTTGGCCCTCTCAACCATTGTAGGAAACGACCGAATACATAGACTGGATATCAACAACTTCAAATCACTCCTCAGCCCATTCTCAAACTTCCGACACTGCCATTCTTCACTGGTTGCCATGGTGTTAAATTTTACTAAGTGCTTGAATTTGTTGGTATATTCCGAAACCTTCATTCCCCCTTGTACCAACTGAAGAAATTCCACTTTAGCAAAACGAACGTTATCTGGGAAGTATTCTTCATAAAACTTGCTTCTGAATACTTCCCATGAAATGGGACTTTGAGCGTCCGTCAATATCATCTTCATGCTCGTCCACCAATGGCTAGCCTCTCCGGTCAGCAAATATTCAGTGAACGCCAATCGATTATCGTCTGGACACCTCTTGGCGTTGTAGATCCGCTCCATATCCCGCAGCCACTGATCAGCCTCATCAGGAAGGCACTTCCCATTAAACTTGGTTGGATGATGCTGCAGAAAATTCTCTAAGCTCCACTCGGTTTGATGGGTAGCGTTGGAAGTGGAAGCTC